ACACACACACACACACACACACACACACACACACACACACACACTCACACCAACACACACACCAACACACACCAGGAGCCACACATGTAGAAAGACAGAGATGCTGTAGTGATATCAGACATGGAGGGACCTACAGCTGTGTGTTCTTTGGACTCAATGTCAAACCTGCTGCTCGGCAATCAATCATTTCACTTGGAAAACATTAAGGATAGGTGTGTGCATGTTTCTGCGTGTGTGTGTGTGTGTATGTAGGTGGATGAAAAATGCTTCTCAGCCTTATCTCATGACAACAGAACGAGAACAGGCCCGTTAACAATCAATAAACTAACACATACTCACAAGCGCTCTCTCTCCCTCACACATTCACAATGCACAGTCATGTGCACGTAGGCACATACACACATGTACACACACATTTACGCACCTCCTCTCTGCTCTCCTTAACCTCCTCTTCCCGATCAACCTCCAGTCTTTATCCCTCTTATCATACTATCTCTTCATTTTCTCTTTACTGCTTCCTCAGTCCCTCCATTCTCCACTCCGTTCCACCTTTTCTCATCTTCTCATTTCATCTGCTCCCTCTACTCCTATCACAACCTCTTTTTTTACTCTTTTTTCAAACACCTCCCCCCTTCTCGTCTCCTCTGATCTCCTCTTCTCTCCTCTACGAATTTGATGTAGACACATCTATATGGACCGAGATGATTGCAATTTACTCAGAACACTGTGTGTGTAGTGAAATTGAATTTACTTTGAGCTGATTTTCTTTGACACCTTAAATCTGTTCTGTTTTGGGGAGAGCCTGCCAGTTTCTTAGTGGAGTGGAGACCCCCACCCTCCGATCAAAGCTGAGTTTAGTCTCTGTCTCGAGCTGTGTGAGTCATCTCAGAGCTGCTGATTCTAATTATGTTATGGAGAAGATGGATGAGATCAGATGTGTGCCTGTGTGTATGTGTGGGTGGGAAATGCGTGCCCGTTCCTATGTTTGTGTGTGTGTGTGCACATGGAGGTGCACGCACGTGGACGGTACCCATGTTCGCAAACCTTCCGATTCAAGCAGACATAAATGCTATTGATTGTAACTGGACTGTGATGTGTGGGATATAAAAAGCTTTTCTACCGTTTCACAGTGTAGCAGAGCGAAAACAGAGAAGGCAAGGGGAGGAGAGTGGAAAAAAGGCAAGATAAAAAGACACTGTGGGCGAGAGAGAGAGAGGGTCCAGTAAAGGGAGGAGAGATGGAAGGAGGAGTAGATGAGAAAGGAGAGGAGAAGCTGAGAGGAGGTAACAGTCATTACTTTCAACTGATGAGGAATTTCAGTGAGGGGGAAAATGAAGGTCATTGATTGTTTCCTTAATATTACCCCCCCACGTGTGCAAATGCATACACAAATATGGATACCAACACACACACAAACACACCCAGCACATAAATGTCACTGCCTCCGTTGGCTTAGCTCCTTTCCATCTGATGGGATTAGGTGTAATCTGTTTTAATCGTGCCTCGTGTCATGTGTAAATGGGATTATATCTAACTGCAGCTCAATATCACCAATATGACTGCTGTTGCTGCTGCTGCTGCTGGGAGGCTGGGGCTGTATGGCAGCACAACCAATCAATGAGAAATCCATCCACAACATAAACTGTGCTGCTGGCCTCAGGCTGCTCCTGAGAAGAGTCCTTCAGCTCGCACAATGGGAGAGCAGGGGCATCACCTCAGGCTTCGGTGGTGTCAGTCGTCAGGAATGGGGCCGTGAGACGACCGCTTCACTCACTTTACTTTACTTTACTTTTTCTTTCTTCTTTTCTTTCCTTTCTCACCTCTTTTCTGCCTCGTTATTCAACACTTCTCTTTCTTTATCATCCCTACATCTGCAGTAAATGTCAATAGGGTGATTTATCAACAATTCAATAAGCCATTTTTCTTCTGTCTTCCATTTTCTCTTTCCCTTCTTCCTGGCCACAGCCTCAACCCACTCTGGAAAAGAGCTACTTATGGTTCATTTGGATCGATGAATATTCAGTCCTGGCATGCGAATCCCTGTTCACACCCCATCATATGTACACACTCATACTCCCCCTCCCTTTGAACCCCCCCTTCACCCTGCTATGTCTGAATTATACATCACTTATCCTAATACATTTACATTTATTAATACTCCATTTTCAGCTGACTAGGTGCTTTACAGTCCTGCCATGTTCCAGAGCACTCTCTACATGTAGAGTGGGTCATCAGCAGGACTCTTTGGAGACTGTCGACGTACATTGCTAATGTTTTAATCAAACACAGACAAGCAGTTTTAGGCATTAACCAATGTCAGTAACTGGCTGATTGAGTGATCCTTTGTGTGAGATAGTGTGTGTGTGTTAACCATTGTCTGCACTCATCTCACCTGGTTTTTGGCGATGTCGTCAGCCACTCATCATGTTTCTCAAAAGTGATGAGATATGCAGCAATCTCCTGCGGAGACAAAGACAAGACAGAAAGGTCACACTGGTGAGTGTGCATGAGAATGTGAGTGTGAGTGAGTGAGTGAGTGTGTGTGTGTGTGTGTGTGTGTGTGTGTGTGTGTGTGTGTGTGTGCGTGTGTGTGTGTGTGTGTCAGAGGGAGATAAAACATAACAGGTATTTCCAGATGACCTGCCGATGTCCAGAGAGAGTATATGTCACTATCTGATTGCCACGGTGTGGTCTGGGCGTCTGATTGGTCACAGAGCAACCAGTCAGGAGACAGATATAGAGGACAAACCCTCAGGGCCAACAACCAATCACGCTCACCAATACACTGATGTCTCCCTCCACTAGGGAGGAAAAGCTATCTCTAAATACACACTCACACAGTCACCACATAAACACACACATAAACACACACACACACAGACTGGGGGAGCAGACCCATACACTAGCTGAGAGAGTGCACTGATAGGAAAAGTTTTCTTGTACTTTGCAGTTTCACAGTTTCCCGTCAGATAAAGCTTGCTCCTAACTTGATTCTTAATTCCTCCGGCACTCTTTTCATCTCCGCCGCTCTCCTCTCCTCTCCACACTATTTCCTCTACACTCACATGAATCCAATAAGGGAAAAAAGAAAGTTCAAATCATACAGGTGCATTCTACCGAGAGCAAGCAAAACAAAACGTCCATACTCCGAGATGGAGACACACACACACACAGATGCAGCCGAAAAGAAACTATTGTTTATACCTCACACTTTTGTAGTCGCTCACGCAACACTGCCTTTTTCCCCACTGCCTTTTTCTCACTGAACTCTCTCACCCATGGCTTCCTCCTTGAAACATTTCTCTCTCACCCCCCTCTCTGACTCCCGTCTCACCCACTTGTTGTGAAAGACTATGAAATGTAAATTGTCCTCTTAAGGCAATCAGTGTTTGAAATGTGGCACAAAGCAATAGTGAAAAAGACATCAACACTCAAGCACTCCTTCATCTACCCCCTCAGATCAACAGCCTCCACTCCAGACCTCCTCTTTCTGTGTGTGTGTGTGTGTGTGTGTGTGTGTGAGAGATATCAGGTATTTGTCCCAGTTTGAAACGAGAGCCCTCCAGCTTCACACCTATGAGAAGATATGGAGGGACAGAGAGGGTACAAAAAGGCAGGGGGAGACAAAAAGAGAAAGCAGCTTGAGGGTGCTGGCACTTAACTGATTGTTTTTTTTTTTTTTTTAGTATCCTCCATTCGATCCTCACGTCCCAACCCCCCACCGCCTCATCTGGCAAATATATGTGTGTTAATATGCATGTGTGTGTGAAGGGGGGATGGGGGGGTTGAGTAGACTGTCATCACACCCTTAATAATTATCACTATCAATTTGGTCACTGTTTATATTTCTTTCTGTCTGAGGCACATAAAACTGGTCGGAGCTGTGTTTGGGTAGGCTACACAGACACATTTTAGCTAGGCACAACAACAAACAGACACACACACACACACACACACACACACACACACACACACACACACACACACACAGAGGAGTGCCTCATTCATTTATGCATCTATTCATTAGCTGTGACAGGCAGCCACCTCTCCTCCTCCCAAACCACTCCGCAGCAAGTCAATATCCTATACGGCCTCCACAGCCCCGGCCAAGCACACGGGCTCCCCTAGTGACTGTCAGCCAGTGGGAGGCGGGAGGAGAGAGAAGAAGAGAGGAGACGAGGGGCTGGGAGAGACAGAAGGATGGGAGGATTAAGAAGGAGGGAGAGAGACTTGCAATTAAAGGCCTGCCCCATAAGAGCCATTAAAAAGCCAGAAACAGAAGAGTCAGCTGAAACAGCAGTCTGACACACTCTAAAACACACCCACACACACAAACACACACATGCACACTCACACTGCAGACACACACTGCTGCTCACTCCCTCAACCAGCACACACACACACACACATACACACACACGCCCATGTGAAGAGTGACAGAAGTGAGATGCTGAAGGTCGATCGTCAGGAAGTCACAGTTATTGTCCCAGTGGAAACCAGTGATGGAGCGCTTAGAGTACGGCTGGCGACACAGTGACCCTTCAGGGATACTGTGCATGTGTGCGTGTGTACGTGTGTGTGTACATGTGTGTGTACGTGTGTGTTAGCTGTGCCAGACACAGGGACAGGGACAAGCATCTTTCTCTAGAGATCTACTCTAGAAACCCAGACATTCTGCATGTCTGTATGAGTCTACGTAATAATACCTTACGACAGGCCCAGCTGAACGTAAGCGTACACGTACACACATACACACATAGACACACAGACACAGACACACACATTTCCCAACACGGACCCATTACTCTCTGTCTGTGTGTGAGAGAAAGTGATAAAGAGAGAGAGAGAGAGAGAGAGAGAGAGAGAGAGAGAGAGAGAGAGAGAGAGAGAGAGAGAGAGAGAGAGAGTTACTTAAGAAATATCTAACAAAGCAGAGAGCATGAGTGGGAAGTTAGATTGGAGTGAGCGATGCAGTTGGGGAAATCAGCCTCCCACTCACGCATCACTGAGACCATCTCCCTCCAAGAAACTGGTGGCATGTACAGAAAAGCAGACAGCCACACACACACACACACACACACACACACACACACACACAC